ACTAACAAACTTCAATATTTTATATCACAATTTATCAGTTTTGGATACTCACTAACTCTAAATATGTCTTGTTAGGTGAAACTCAGCTACCTTTTTGGAACTCTTGAACACAACATACTCCCCTTTTAATATGCTTTTGAAATAACCATTCATTTGGTAAATATGTTTACACTCTTTGTTTTTTTGTTTTTTTTTTCATTAAAAATTTATCAAATTTGTTTATTTTTTTTCCTAACAGTGGATTTGATGTTGCAAGCTACCCAATCACAGAACAGGAAGCGTCTCTGGTCAAAGACATGGAGAGTGCTCTGTCCCTTCAAAAGTCCAACACCGCACTCACTGAGAACACCATCAATGAGCAGGATGAGGACCCAGGTGAGTTTGTGAACCTTTTTTCCCTTATTTATTTATTTATTTATTTATTTAAAAGGACTGTGGTCTTCACTACCTTGTTATTAACTTTGTCTAACAACACTGATTTGATTCTAACAATTAAAAAAAATATATATCTAAAACAACCAAACAAAACCCAAGTGACTGAAACTGAGGGTAAAAACAGGCCAATATGTTTTCTTTGAGGTAACGTTGATTAATATATCGTTTTCTTCTTGATTCTTAATTCTGTGCCATTCTTTTTATTTAGGCAGCATAATAGTACTGTAAGTCAACTGGCAAATTTGGATGATTTATTTTTGATATCATCAATGAGTTGCTCTATTCTATGTCAGATAAACTTGATAGGGGCAAGTGGGGTGCTTTTAGAACATATTTTGATTTGGAAATGGGTTTTCTTCACATTTCTTGAATTTGAAAGGACAATGGTCATGGCGTCAGAATGGCCCAAACGGAACATATTCTTCAGAAAACATGCCCAACTAACGACATCTTTATCCAAATACACAAATTAAAAGCTCATTTTGTAAATTTTGGACTTTAAAAAATGTCCTATTTGCTTGGCCTGAGAGTTAATGAGCTAAGTGGTCATGTGGTCCGATGACGACAATCGTGCCACCGGCGGAGCTGTCCAACTTCTGATAAAAGTTTATACTCATTCAAATCTCTTACCCGAGGGGTCAAAACCCTCGTGAAGCTGTGTAAAACCATTTACCATCTATTCAATTCTTTAACAAGCATTTAATTATGCTTATCCCAAGTTGTATAAAACACTGCATTTGAATGACTTAAGGGTACTGTTGATTATTCCATATGAGGTCCATGTTATTTGTGAAATTCAATTTATTTTATTAAACCGCTGACACCCCGTCTTGCATACTTTTATTAAACTGAGGTAAACAAGGCCTGTTACCTTTACGAGTCCTATCTTAATCATCCATCTAACTGGAACTTCCTTTGTCTTGTCTTTGTCTTGCGAGTATCTAACGCACTCTCGCTGGTGATATTTATCTCAGGTAAAAATCTACATGTGCATTAGTTTCAAAGAGCAGCTCCCGCAGACCTGGGGGTAATAGATAAAATCTGAACACCAGGTTTATTGAGGAGCTAGAGAAACAAAGGAAGAATTTTTCCTGCAGAGCTTCATAGGAATCTTAACATGATTTGAACCAGCTTAGACCTCCAAACTAACAGGGTAACATGGGTAATTTTCACAAACAAATAATAAAACTATATTTTAGTTCCTTTTAAATAAATATACCGTTATGGGTTAATTAGAATATTAATTAAATCGCGAGAATATTTTTGACTTAAATGATGATTTTATTATTAATGGAAATTAATGAAGCTACTATATGTGGTTCATTTGCTGTGATTACGCTGCCCTTCCTGTTTTGCGTTAGTCTACATTTTGCTGTACGTGCTCGGAATTTTTTAAAATATGTGCGTACAATTTTTGCAGGTCTGGTTATGCCCCTGTTATGTGATGAAAGTCTAAATTTGGCAATTGGTTCCTTTGCTTATTAAAATAGAATTGCAGTGTAAAATTTTCAACAAGATGTTGTTGCAATAGCCCTTCACTCTTTGTGGATATTTCCCCCGTCAAAGTTTCTCTAAAATTATCTTTCAATCTTTACTCTTTCAAGGGCAGTATAAAGTTATCTGACATATTTTCGTGAAAACTTAATGACAAGCCAAGTGTCTCAAGTTCATTCTGTACCCAATTTTTACCCAAGCAATTTTTTTCTTGAGTAGATCTTTATAGCACGCTGTTATAATACAATTTTTCGAAGAGGGGATCTAAATCGATATTTAAAAAAGTGTAGCTTCATACTTAAAAGAATTGGGTATCTACCGCTTTTCATAATATACCAAGTTATGTACAATGAACTTAGTAATCAGTAGTGCTCTTTTTTTACACCCAACATTCTTTTAAAAATCCGTATGTGCCTTTATTATATCCTATATTATAACCAGGTTAAATCTCCACGCATAATTTAAAATATACTAACGTACGTAAAACTGCACATTTAGTAAACGCATGAAAGTAATGATTTTTTACATGCTTTTAGTAGCAAACAATGCTCTTTTACTTTGATCTGCTACATGTTTTTGGGTTTGACAAAGCTTACAAATTTGCAAAAAGTTTTGTGTACAGCCGCAGAACTTGCTTTTCAAGTTATAAAATGATAAATCTTTTAAATTATTCTATAAGTCAGATGAAATAACCTTCAGAAATAAATCCTTAAAGCATAAACGAATTAGGATTACGAACCATTTTATTACAGCAGTTCCCAATTTTTCTTTAATATACCCCTCTTTTTCTGTTTTTCCTCAACACGTTTTCATCCATGGAAGTAATGCCTGGGCATACGCATGCTTCAAGATACCCTGAGAGCAATAACTTTTATTAATGTTCGCGACCGTGTTTGAACTCAATTGTTAAAAATATTGATATTTAACGTCATTTACAAATACCAATAATATAACCCCATGAAATAAATGAGATATATTGAAAAATATGAAAGCGCACCAAGACGAGTTTGATACCTGTTATTACCTGGCTTGGGAAGTGCAGCGGTGCATAGTTAACAGGTTTTATTGTTAACGAGCTCTTGGTCAACTACAATGCATTTAAAATGCATCAGCAATTAGTAAGCTTGCCAACTGTTGACAGTTAATCTGAAAGACTATCAGCTTTTCATATGATCTAAACCACCTGAGGTGACCATGATCTCATCGCATCGCAACTATTGTCACCGAAGTTACTAAGTCACGGAAGACCATCACAGACAAAGAAAAGATTGTGAATGAGTGCTGCAATTTGGTGAATCCCACGGCATAACGAAAATTTTTTTAACTCCGTTCAACACAACTTTCCTAAACTTCTCTGTCTGTATGTTCATGCAGCTCAGTTGAGTCTTATACAGGTAAATATATGTAGACCTTTATCCTCATTGTCGTAACAGTACCTCGTGACCCAGATCTGTTGCTTCATTTATGCATATTGAGGTGAGGTTTACTAAAACGCTTTTTGTCTACTAATAGATTGTTTTTATAATTTTTAAATGGCAGGGATCGATTTAACTGTAGTGTATAGATTAAGTGCTGGATCTTCAGAATTCGAGAAATGGATTTTTATATGACTATTGTCCTTGAAGTCTAAATTTTCACCATCATACATGTCAATATAATAACAACGTATTCACTCTGCAGGTGCAATAAAAAAATGCATAATATCACTTTACACATAAGTCTGTCAAAGAAAACCTAGCATAAATATCAGTGCCATGCTATTAACAAAAAAATGTGTCTCTCCTTTATATGAACAAGACCCTTTTACAGATAAATATCTACTGGTATGCCATTAAACCAGCTACTGAGATACAGTTAGAAACACTTAACTGTTTACACCATTTTTCACTTTAAACATATTCATTTTTTAATATAACTACCACACAAACAAAATCATTTAATATCACTGGCTTTTACATTATACAAACTCCATTTATATTTGCAGATTGAAATGGCATCAAATGAAAAGAACTGCTTCTTTCTCATTATATGCACATACAATAGAGATGTGGTCCCAGGCTTTAAAACAACAAGCAAACAATTAGGCAAAGCATGGTGGACTTGGGGACAAGGGGGGGGGGGGGGGGGGGGGTTTGGGTTTTTATTGCCCCCAAAACATTTTTANATTGAACTTGCTAGTACCCCAGAGACAGTGAATTAGAAGAGCATCACCGATTTCAGAGTCTATACCTACGAGTCCACAGAGTACTAGATGAGGTGTTCGATCTTATTATTTCTGCTGGGAGGTTAGAAATGTTGCTGATGTCAAATGCACAGAAGTTGATCATGGGGAAACTTTTTTGTTTGTTTGATTGATTATTTGTTTTTCCATCTCCGAGAAAGATGGCATTGTTCCCAGTTGATCTTCTGCACTTTTTGCTTGTAGTTATGTGATGGGTTGATGTATACTGTTACTGTTGAAATGAAGTCTTCTGTATTGCAGTCAGGTTATGAATTTAATTTCGATTTTTGAATGTTTTTGCCCAACACAATTTACATCCTTTCCTTTCAAACCAACTGTGGATTCATACATATGTGAAACATGGCTGTTGGACAAATGTTCCATTTATCGACAATATTTCTTTATAAGATATATCATGGTTGTCAAAGAGGAACCCTGGTTTCACTCTCCAACATGATTCACAGTTGTTAGTGTACACTACAGCATGTACAGTGCCATGGGATTTTATGATTTGATGTGCTGATTGCAATCATTTGGCATTTTAGTCCGATGCAGGGTACACTGAGACAGAAACAGAGCTGGATCAGCCTGAATCTCTGGACGACACCCGTAAAAAGATACACCGATTGCTTGATGATGCTTTTGCACTCATTTCACCAAAGCATGGGTATGGAGATGTTTTAAGTTCTTTGATTTATTTATTCATTCATTTGTTCTTTTTTTTTCTTTTTTTTTTTGTAATTTGGGAGGAGGTTGTTTGTGCATGATAAATTATGATTGATAATTAAAGTACCTTTCTTTCTCCTGCTTAAAGTGTTTTGATTTGTTGGGAAAATGTTCAGTTTCTATGGATATACACAGAGTCAGGTGTAAATAAATTGACTCCTATTTAAAGAATAACACCAAGTCCATTTTGTAAGTAGTTTTAAATTTGTTAGAGTTTTTACAGTGATGGATTTTTGATATCAGAGATTTTCTAGAAGTGTCGCAAAATAACTATCTGCTTTTTTCATTTCTTACTGCTTAAATTACATATGTACTTGAAGCCAGCTCAGGTGTCTTTCATCTTAAGTAGAATGTGTGCATTACTTGAGTTCATTTTAATTATTCCATCTATACAGGAACAAAGTAGCTCCTCACACAGCTACAAACGGAAGACCCATCCCTGGTTCTAGCCTTAGGAGAGGCAGAAATCAGGCTGTCAGGTCTACACAGACCACTCCTAAACAATCAGATAGGTAAGGCATTGAACTTCCTTTTGCAGGCCCATAGCCAGCAATTTCAGAAGGGGGGTTCTTCTTCTGAAAGAGTGGACCTTTAAGTTTAACCAAGAAACCTTTGTGTACCTAGATAAAATTTTACAGAGGGGACTTTTTCTGGCAAAAGGGGACCCCCCACCCCCAACCCTCCCTGGCCACAGGCCTGTTTTATATTATGGATAGTTTGTAGTTGCAGTTTGCATTCTTTTATTCATCTTTTAGTCACTGGTAGACTGAATTTTTTAAAGAGATAACAACTCTTCGGAAGAGATCTATTTTTCACAATAAATACATTGTAAACAACACACAGAAATATAATATTTTCTATTTTACCACAAAAACCACAGTTATAGCAATTAATCTGAAATCTGTGCTTGCCATCCGACCACGTGACCTCCATAGATGGCAATACTCTGCAATAATCTCTTAATAGATTATTACAAAAAAACAAACTTTTTAGAAAAAAAACAGTGACTAATTTTGAATGTAGAAATGGATTCATTAACCATTGGTAACTACGGGAAAAATTGCCATTTACCCCAGGAAAATTCATTTTTTGGCCAAAATGAATGGTTGTTTTCCCTTTAATGTCAAGTTTGACAGTGTTTTTGAGCATTGCTTTTTCCTGCAAATATATTTTATTTTACATGCTTTTTTGCTTTGTTTTAGGGTTGATCAGCCTTTTGTTTGAAGCTCTTTGTTAATGATTTGGATTTTATTTCTTCTTTTTTAGAGATGATACTAGCTCTGAGCAGCCAGAAAGATTATTTGAGTTAAGTCCAAGGCTGAACACAGAAGAATACAAAAGCAGTGATGCTGGTGAGATTTGTTCACTTTTAGGAAAATGGATTACATTTACAAAATAAATTAAAAACAATTTTTTTCCATGAGATGGGATTGTCCAGAGAGAGGAGATATATTACAAAAGTTTATGATGATCATATGTAACATTTTACTTTAGAATTATAAGCACTATAAACTATAGATGTAAAATGTTTGAAACCAGAATTTTGCAAATTGTACCTTTGAATCACTTTTGTTCTTGACATTCTACTTCACTATTTAAACTATTTAAATTTTAGCTTTTTAAAAATTGGGCATCCTTCATTTGTCATTATAGAGTCACTGAAACCAGAGACCGTCCACACCCCGATGTACATAGCTAGTCACACCCAGCCCAAGGCCTATGCTGGGGTGATGTGGAGTCCATACACAGTAGATGATGAAGCTGCCAGGGTGTCACCAACCAAGGAACCAGTAAGGGCATGTAGCAGGGCCTTAGTTGGGGGAGGGGGGCTTAGAGCAACCACTCTTTTTGTTCAAGAACAGACCCGCTGAAAGAAATTCAGTTTATTTTAAAAAAAGCCTAACACACACACACACACACACACACACACACACACACACACACACACACACACACTTTTGAAGTTGCCAACTACAGGCCTGCCAGTAATATTTTTGTTTTGTTTAATGTTGATGGGGTATTCAAATCAGTTTATTGAAACTGAAATTATTAGAAGAGGATTGGTATATGGTGATAGTTATTACATTATCTTTTTTATGTACAGACACAGATGTGTCTGTACATATTGCCATCACCTGCGTCTGTCGTCGCCGATCATGTCGCCGTCGCCGTGCACTTTCAGCGTTAACACCATAAGTGGAAGACAGTTTTACTTTTTGGCTTTATATTTACAGAGCTGACTAATATTCATAAAACGCAGGTCAAGTTCGAAAATCAGCATGATCGGGCCATTATTGTAGAATTTATGCTGTTTTTTCACTTTTTAGNAGTTTAACATAATGTACTTTTGCATCAGAATTGACAGTAGCCTATTTTGTTATTTCCTGCTTTTTGTCTGTACATTTGACAGCTTTGCTGCCTTGTAATATGTAGAGACAGATTATTAAAGATCTTTATAGAACACAGGTTGGCACTTCCAACCTGTGCCATGGGATTCCAAAAGATTCTATGTTGCTGTCAACTAGTTTACACCAACATCATTTCAGGCTTCCATACCTCCTGGTGGCATTGACACATCCCCGATACACAGTCTGAAGCTGGGACAGACGGATCAACTAAGTCCTGAGTTATCAGTAGGTCAAGGTCACCAGTCAAGGTCAGACAGGGGTTACAGTGACCCAGCGAGTAAAGCCTGGGAACCTTACAATAACCGAAGAGCTCTGATACCTGATGATTACACTAGTCTGACATTTGGAACTGCTCAGTTAGCACCCTCGGCAACGAGGCCAAGAGTCCAAACTCCTCCACATGGAAGGGAGAGGACTGGTGCAACAGATACAAATAATGATTCTTTGATACATAATGAAAGTAATGGTGAGGCCTTTCATCCTCTAAGGACAACATCTAAAGGGGCACAACCTTTCTCATTTGACAACCAAACTCTGAACTCTTCCACATACATATCACCAGCATCAAGTATGCACTCCCAATACCCAATACTGTCACATAGCATGGGAGGAAGTAGGATTCAGCCAAATGCAAGTGTTCATGCATCCCCTCCTTACAGAAGAAGCAACTCAATAGGGGGTCCCATAGAGGATGGCCAGGACGAGATAGATGTGATAAGTAGCAGTCTTAAGCCTGGCTCATCTGCCCAACCCCTGATTAAGTCCATTAGAGAGGAACTGCTGAGGTTAACACAAAGGAGAACACCTGTAAAGGAGTTTAATAGTTAACTGATATTTATACAGCAAGGAAATTTATACTATTTTAGTATTTATCGATTTGTGCATTTGAAAGTGATGTCACTGATTTTTATGCATTATTTAATCATTGAATTTTTTATGAAAAAACTCCCAGTATATTATCCAAAGAAGGAACAAAGTTGACTTGAATTTGAGGTATTTAAGTTGCGTATTACTCAGTATTACAAAAAAAAAATAACTGAGAAGATTTTTGTTAACACAATAGACAAAAAAAAAAATGAAAAAAGTTCTTCAAAGGCACAGCTGTCAAGGTGATGAGGACCAGAGATAGTAACAGAAGGATACCGAATAAAATATTTTAGTCTTCAAGGAGGGCTCATATTCATTATTTTAAGTTAAGTATCTTTACAGAATTATCAGTCGTCTCATAAAAATTATTTACACCAAATGCTCAGGTTGTTTGAAATAGCTTAATACTAGAAATTAATATCTGAATATCCGTCCAAGTATTTTAGATAAAAGATTAAATATCATATGCTTGGATTTTTGTCAGCCTCCTATAGTTATGTTATACTGAAGGCTGAAGTTTAAGATTATTATTGCAAGTTCCAGTACTTATTTTTTGAGAATGGCAGAAAGTTGTTGACATGTGACCAGACATTACTCTGGATGTGATGAGAGAGAGAGATAGACCAACTCTTGTTGGGATTCTTAATGAGCTGAAAAAAATAGTGACCGATCACAATATTGTTGCATGTTTTGCAGTATAAAATGCATTGTTTGCTACATTTTCCTGAAAAAATACTTAGAGTACAAACATTTTAGATCTGTTACTTTATATTTTTACAATCATAATGCTGTATTTTTACAAAATTATATGATTATATGAATTCTGATATTTAATAAGTGCACAAATGCTTTTGAAAGCCAAATAAAGTAATCAATATTGCAGTTGCATTTATTCTTAAATTTCTTAAATTTAATCCACAGGTTGATTAGAATAGTTTTATAACCCCACCCCTTTTCTTCAAATGTTATTGTATTTATAAAAAATATGCCTGAAGTCAAAATACATTACCAGAATGAAATTATTTGTCATATTAATCCGATCAAATTTACTTTTTTCCTTCTACTACCACCTCAGAATCATCCAAAATATATTTGCTTCTGGATCTTTTTAGTCCCAAACTTGGACAGTCCAGTCTCCAAGTGTCGTTGGTCTTGTAAATGGATTATTTTCAAGATCTGTATATTTTTTAATACCTTCTTTAAAATATACCTTTATACTTTTACAGTATTTCCCAAAACTATTATAAGTCTTGATTTTCAACATTTGTCAAAAGAGTTAATTATGGGGAGGCTGCTCATTGTCACTGTTATTCAAATAAATTATCTTGAAAATTTACTAATTTATGTTTTAGAGGAAACTTTCAAACTCTTTGACTAATGAGATTACTTCAAAGTTATCTCCCCTGTGAAGGCCTTGTTATTCACAGATATTTCCTGGTGTAAAGAATTTTATCTGGCATCAATTTGCATTGACAAAGTTTAATGTTGTTAATACCCATTTTCTCTCATTTTGTAGGGTCGCCAATACAAAAAAAAATAAATGTTATATCCATACGAAATATCCATGACATGCCTTAAAAATAACCAGCAAAATTTAATAAAATACATAACAGTTTAACCTTTTTGGGTAAAAAAAGATTGTTAATGTTTATAGTATAACGCTAACGTATCGTACATCATACATTACTTAGTCAATTTCGCCACTAAACAACGGACTTACCGAGCGTTACAAATGCAATACGAATATTTCATATAATGCAGTTTGGTTTGATATCTTGAAATAACAAATTGCTATAATTTGTTTATTTCAAGAGTTTGGTTTTTTGGGGGTTGAAAAGAACAAACAGCTTAGGTTATCTCACTCCTGACCCGCCAAAGAAACGAGTTTGTGCACGCTAAAGGCCTGTTATTTTACACGGACATCACTATTCATAATTTCCTTATCTTTCCTTGTAATCTAGAAAAAAGCATCGCCTCCATGTACAACACGTCACAAAATACAACTAATGAGGATATATAGTTTCGTTTAGAAACGAATAATGATATTCCGAGTTCCAGTGATTTATAAAGCAAAAAATAAAGGGAAAACACTCACTGCTGCAGACTGTTCTGGAATTTATTCTACTGCACTGTTTGTTTGCAGCAGAATATGCACAAATTTATTTTGCATGTATATTTATGATTATAACGTGAGGCTAATTTCAGAGAATATTCCGACATGCGTTTCACAAAATATGGTGAAAATAAATTCACAACAAGAAACTTATGAAAATATTATATACAATCTTTTTGACAAATAATATTTGAACTTGGCTTTGTAAATTACCAGTAAGAGCCCTAGAAATGAGGTCACTCAACAGTAAATGGTAACAGAGAATGCTGATAGTGAATGACAATAAATTACAGGCATACTTTACTAACCGGCGTTGTAAAATCAGTGTTATACCTATCTCCACCTTGTAGTCTCGTGAGATCTTAAAGTTAATAAATAACATAGCTGCAGATGTATCAAACAGCCCCTATGACATGTTTTTGTAAATGAAGTATGAAATAAAAAAAACAACGACTACCATAATGTTGGACCAAATTTAATTAAAATGCCTATTTTTGCCCTTTTTCGTCTTTGTTTTGTGGTCGAGCTAGGTTATTGTCTTCTTATCTTTGCCTCAGATTCCTTTAATATATTAGTGTTCTTACATTTCTTAAGCAGTGATGCCTGGTTGGGGAAAGGGAAAACAGAAAGATATGAGAAAAAATCAGTCTCTTTTTGCTTTGTCTTTTTTTTTTTTTGGGGGGGGGTCGAAGAGAACAGGTACGACAGTTTTAATTCCACTGATAGATTGGTCTGCCCTAAGGTGTGGTATTTACTTCCTTGTACTGAAAAACAAATAACAGAGCTGTCCGGTCATGGAGGAAATGTACAACAGCGCGAGTAATATAAATAAGGACCAAAAAGTGGCCATAGGCATATGCCTAAGACAAAGTAAAAAGAAAAACAGACCTTGAAGGTACTCAAATACCGGCTGTTATCAAATATGAAGTGGTTTTTAGCTGCATTGGTTTGTTTTGGCGCTCTGGCTCACATTCAGGGTAAGTTGGTATATATTTCAGTTTCTTTGGGTAAACTTTCTCGTAGAGGACATTTACACGAAAGTGATTTTTTATTGGTCAATATGTCTTCAGTTCAACAGCTGTTTGAATTTTAATAGACTCGTTTTAATGATTACTTCAAAATCATATATCTTCGTTTACTAAGAGTATTGAACTGCGGATCCTCTGTTTAGGGTTCTTTTTTGAAGAATAAAAAAGCTGTGATGTGGCCAACGTCGGTCATCGAATTTCCTATGATTTTTTTCTAAAATAAAGTCTAAAATGCAGACGAAAATAGAATAAAAATTAATACTTATTTCAAATAACTCAATAAATAGCTTGTGTCTACTTTCGCGGTGTCGCCGGGTTTTTAAAAATTGATAAAAAAATTCGTTACGTCTTTTGGCAAAGGTCATAATTTTAATCTTTTGATGATTTTGTAAAATTTTAGCCATTAATAATATCTGCAATTCAGTAACATCCATGATTAGTTAGACGATATGGTGACAGGACACAGATAAATGTTTTACACGAAGCACGGTAAAACTGCATTCTCTTAGAAACTAATTTTCAAAACTTAGTTACCAGATGTATGAAAAATATGCTTGCGGTTGAAGACAAAATGCGTCAGTAAAATAAACGTGCATGCTCCTCGTAATGCCACTTTCAATAACGCACTCTTATTTTTGTTAGAATTGATGACATGAAAATATAATCCAAAAATGTTTTTTTTTTAAAGCTTTTGCTACTAAAACTGCTGAAACCTTAGTTACTTAACTCGAATTTCCCCATACTATCAAGGCATGAATTTTAAGATTTTCCATAATTAACCTAAAAAGCTGGATTTATCACCTTCTGTCACTAGAGATTTAGAAAAAATAGAATTCGCGAATATATTTATTTATTTTTTTACTTTTTTGTTTCCTTCAATTGGACCTATATATTGAAAGTGAGTGACAACGAGCAAAACAAGATAAGTCTTTTTTATCTTCTGACCCACACATTGTTGTAAAATTGTACCATTTACTCTTTTATATTAGCCAAACGGAGCAAAGTGTTAGTCTGTCATCTATTGGAAAATGTTTATGTTCTCTTTAAAATACAATGAATGAAAAAAGATTGCTCCATGCAAATGGACCATTATTTTATCGTTATTTCTTTTGAATTCCAGCCTTGAGTTGGTCTGCGTGGTTTGACAGAGACAATCCATCCGGCAGCGGAGACTGGGAAACTTTATCTGACCAAAATGTAAATATTGAACTTCATTAAGAGATTATAATAAATAGCTTATTTATTTCTTAGAGAATCTCAACAGTTTCATCATGTAAATGTAAAGCTATAATTTCTTCCAAAACATTACTGACTGAAGTGAACACACATTTAGGTCTTACTCTTTATCTTAGTTCGTTGTAATAAAAAGTGAGTCTACACATGGGCACTTTCGCTTTGAAAAAAAAATTATTACAGAAACTAGGACCCGTATGCCCCCGTAGTTCCCCTATTGCAGCACAGTGCCGCGTCAAAGGCAGTGGCGCCATCTTTACAACGACAAGCGGATCACCACCAAACGTGCTGGCCCACAGATGTACACCAACCGTCGGTCTTGTCTGTAAAAACTCTGATCAATCTGGCTCTGGTTGTAGAGACTACGAGATTCGATACCTGTGTCCCAAGCCATGTAAGTTTGCTCTTTTAAAAGTGTAAATTATCACTCTTTTAAATTTTAATCAAAAAATTAATTGGTTTAATTTTAAAGTGTGATGATTTCTTGCTTGGTGCAAATTACCTCACACACAACGTTCGAAGTCATACAGTGTAAAGCCTATTTTTTATGTTGTTTATGGCCAGGGTGTAGGTTCATCTTTAATTTTTTCAAATTTCAAAGTCCTAAACAAACAAAGTTATTTATGCTTAAAAATTATACAGGGTCCACAGCTGTTAAAATGAAATTTTTAGTCATTTTTGTGCCTCACTGTTTCCCCCTGTCTGTTTTTTTATCATTTCATTCAAATGGACAAAAAAAAAAAAAAAAAAAAAAAAAAAAAAAAAAAAAAAAAAAAAAAACTTTAATTTCTTCACTTATTCATCTAAAAGTTTTATTAACGTAAATGTATTTAATTTTCAGCGTCAGTATGGACCAGGTGGTTCGACCGTGACAATGCATCCGGTACCGGAGACTGGGAGCCTTTGTCTGACCAACTGGTAAGAGAGAAATGAAAAATATATACAATTTATATAAATAAACAAAGAAAAGTTTATGTTCTTACGATGTAGTCTATAATGCCATTCACTGTACATTTCAAGGTGGGGTATCAATTATTATATATTCATCCAAATTATTTTAGGCCTGTTCTTTTTTAAAATTCAACCTGAACCATTCAAGGAAACACAGATTTTAACTTTTTTAAAATTAACCAATTATCATTGCAGAAACTGGGCGCAGTCTGCCCTGGTGGAGCGAACCCCCTTGGGGCGGAATGCCGTGAGAGGGGAACCGCAAATGTTTTTACCCAGTTTTCCGGAAATCCACCCGACAATTTGCTCAGGCGTTGCACAAGTGCAGGCTTGATCTGCAGAAACGCTGATCAACCAGTTGGGAGAATGTGCAGCGATTACGAGATCCGCTACTCATGCCCTGCCTAGACTCATCGGACCAATGGACGGTGGTGCTGTTGGACCTCCATCGGATGGATCTGGATCGACCAGAAAAATTATTCGTTACCGAATTGCCCTTTTTTCGAAATCAGGTCTAACTTTTGCATGGGTTTCTCATTTGAAACTTTTTTTTGTGGCAAACAGTCTTTAAATGATTAATTTTACACATGCTTTTAACGTTTAAGGTATTAAATTTTCTTAATATCTTTGTTTTTCTCCTTTATAGAGGTAGAGTATTCTAAATGAGAATTGTATTTTCGATCAAAAGTAGTTGCAGTCGAGAATTTTAATGCGTCTGTAGTGACTTATGCTCTCTGTCCAAGTTTTTCAAAATGGTACCAAACTAAGTATCAACTTCGTAAGAAATTATACATTGTATTTGATAGTTAATCCTCAGCACCAATAAAGAATTAAAAAATAACCCCGAACATTTGTTGAGTTTCAACTGTATGGCGTTGGATGCCCGGTAAAACAACATGGGGCATATGTTCTTTTATGCTATTTTCTTTTATGCTTAATATGTTATATCAACTAAAACATCAAAGTTGCTTTATCCACCACAGTAGATGCTGAACATCAACATAAACGCCAAATTTCATAGCAAAGAAAAACTTCTCTAAACCTCAATGTGCTGAACATTTTATTTTGAAAATGAATTAATGAATCGGCAAGTTGCCAGATTCTTTCAAGGGCGAACATTAAGAACGCAGTATGAAATGAATATGACAAAAACGGAACAAATTTGAAAGGAGCTTCAGCCTCTCACAACCAAAAAACAATCTTCTTTTAAGATTTCACTAATGCTCCAGTGCCAATAGTACGTTACAATTAAGCGATATCAATGTTAATCTTTTTCCTTTTGGTATACAATAATAACTCAAATAACTCGAATAGTCACATCCTATAACGAAATGCAATGAGATAAGGGCTAACACACAGTCTACATTGTTTAAGTAATATGTAATGCTTAAACAGATTGTATGAGTATATATGTTTGATATTTTACAGTATGAAGTAAATGAAACAAGCTATATATGATCTTTATATACATAAAATACACGGCTTTGTAGATAAAACAGCTTTGCTGCCTTTTTAGAGTTAACATTCAGGCCAATTTGCTGTATTTTTAACATTTTGATGTAAAAAAAAAAAAAAAAACACAGAATTGTTCTTTTTGGCCAGCCTGATTCTATTATCCACAACTTGCAATTCTGAAACCAACGAAATAGTACCCATCCCTTTCGTTTTAATGGGGATCATACGAGATAGTCAAAAATTTCACGACAATCGTGAAATCTAGCAAGATTGAGCGGGCTTTGGGGAAGATCGAGGTCAGAAATAATGGCAGATTAAAAATGCTGAGCGGCAACGAACAAAAGCTAACATGATTCATACACGGAAAGTTTCTATTTATGCCTTAAGTTCTATAGAAATACCGTTTGTGTGGTAGCATTAATTCACCATGTTTTGCGTGTCATTTGATTTAGTACTGCTTTCAATACGACATTCCCTGTGCAATTTTACACTTATCACTAAATAGTTAACCCCGCCTCGAGAAAATTTTCTCACGTTTTATAGTCTCGTATGCATATGAGGATATGCAGTGCTGAAATCCTCAGGTTTAGGCTATTCGGATGCTTCTCATTGCAAGTGTCACAACCATTCTGATGAGATTTCAAGAAGTGTAATTACTAGCGTAGACACCCCACATGTTTCATCTGATATCTTAATTACAAAATACATTGAAAAACTCTTGAAGACACGCATTTGTGCACTGCATACAGATAGCAGATATGCTGGGAAGTGGGGTGCCATTAACATTACCGCACCTTAAAACTAAAAAGATACAACATAGTTTATCTAAGTAAAAAAATCTTCTTTTCCTAAATTTGGACAAGTTGGGAAAAAATAAGTTAAAAACAAGTGCTCGAGATCTTAATTCCTCATGCGTTTAGACTTCTGACTTAAAACTGACGTGAATGCCTCTTTAGACTGATAACGAAATATAGAGTGTAGTCAGGCCTTTACTTATAGAAACTGCATTCCGTAGCATTAATCATATGCCCCAGTGAGAAGAAATCGCACGGTTCTATCCCGAGGACAACAACCAAATGCTAGTTTCTTCAAACTTAAGAGATCCTCCTTTTTTAAACTGAGTTTATAGCGTATACGTAGAACTTTGTCAAATAGGTTGAAGACAAAAAGGGACTCCAACGAGCTCTAAAATATTATCAACTAATAAGCTTTACACACTGGAGTGAGCGCATATGTCTTAAAAGTTTCAATGGTCATCCCGTATTACTGTACATGTGAAGACCGTGATGCTGCCTAAATACAGGATTTTAGCGCATTTATCCTTAGAAAACTAGCTTCGTCTTCTATTTAGTTCTTACATTTTCCAAAGTTTGTGTTGGAACCATTTTCAGAGCTGAAAGCCAGTATCTTCAGTGTCCCTTGTAGTTCCCACAGGCAAACAGTGGGGCAAGACGCAGTCATCTATCGCACCGAACATAACCATGGCACTACGAACGACAGAGTTAGATACAAAAAGTTTCCAAGCACGACATTCAGGTGTCCGGGGGCAGCCGTGCTTGTTATGTAGGGTTCCTTACATTTAACATTAGCAGTTGCAGTGGGACACATTCTCATTAATGTTTGTTCCCTCCCCGTAGGAAGAGTAACATTGACCAGTCCACACAAATCCACGATCTTCTGAAAATTTGCATCGCTTGCTTCGAAAGCTACAGAATTCATAACGTTTAATTCGTGAAATATGTAGGACCCATCCGTATTTTTCTGTAGACCAATAATGTATTTTTTACCCTCCGATATTTCAGTCCTGGAACATGAGCTTCGTGGGCTGATCCTATCAATCGTAATATTTTCAGGAAAGTCTCCAGGCTCTGAGTTTTTGTAGATACAGAAGACGCGAAATCGTGCGTTGGTTTTCTGGGGGGTGTCGGCGTTTTGCGCCGTCTCATTCAGGTCGTAATGTCGGACATCTTCCCCGTAGACAACGATGTCCACCTTGGACAGAACTTCCGTCATGTCCCACGTCCGGACGTTGCCCGTTACCGAACACGCATCCGAGCACTGGAGAACGGCACATAGTAGGCCTATCATCAGAAAATCCATCACTACTGACGCCATCTTCAAAATTTACGTCCACCACCTCAGGAGCCTTGGTGTCACAACTTTACACTGATGCTCAGATGTAGCGATACGTCTTTATGTTGATCCTGTATGCTGTATGATATGGGGCCTACGCGATACTCTGGATAGTATATGCACTTCGAAGGTTATAACTCTGCCAGTTGTTTTGAAGGTTATTAGAGAGTTTCCGTTGCCGGTGAGATACGCCGGCTAGATTAATACGTCATCGGTTTGTGCGTACTTGTGACGTTCACCGCATTCATATACCGTCGTCCAATCTAGTCTGCGGAATACAAGCGCTCCTATCTAGCCAGTGAGGAAGATTATTGAAACTAGTTATTAAAGGTTATGTTTGCTAATTTATATGCCTTATATACTTTTTTTACCATAGTTCAAGTGTATGTTCATGCAAATTTCGACTTTTTAAGAGAGAGGAGGCGCTAATTTTGGTTTATCAGGCACGTAGTCGGGGGTTGATCTTACTAACCGCCATATTTGTCTGAAAAAATTGCTCTTTTGGGTAATATTGGTCTCCTTTTTCATAAAAAAAGAATCTTCACCTTGGAAATAGATGGCTAAGGGGTCTTATATTGTTAATTATATTGGAATGAGCGGGGCGGGAAGCGCCAGCATTCCGGGACTTTACCGGAACGAGAAAAGAGTAGCGCGTTACTAGATACATTTGCACATACGTAACAATCTAGCCGTCGTATCCCAACTGCACCGGAAACTCTCTAATAATACAAGCCGGACCTGCTGGTTATCTTGGGCTTCCTTCTCAATAGAGATTTCACCCTACCTTGGTAGCCCCGTTGGCCCACTTTATACCTGTTTACATACAGAAAGCACCTGTAGCTGTGACCCGACTCACTGCGCTGTTCTGACCTGGATACAGGCGACAATTAAGGTGATTATGGATAAAATGAGTCACCACCAGGCCTACCTGTAGTTTGGCGCGTTTTGGAGCCTAACCGTTAGGAAAATAATGTCCTATTATTGAACGATCGATTGGATTGCTACAGGAATAATCTTAATTGCAGTGCCAGTAGGATATAAAAAATTGCACAGTCTAGGATATGCGATGGCAAATTGAGTGATTGGTTAGATTAATTTGTAAAGAAAGCCTTTTTTCTCTTCGTTATTTCATTTACACTTTCATTTCCACTTTGTAGACCTTTGAAAAATTTCGTCATTGCCCATAGCCTTCTTATAACGATTATCAATCTAAAACATTTACCATGTGTTACGTAAGGGTTACAAGATAAAACTTCCAGCGTAATATTTAATAGAAACTATCAAGAAAAGTTTCTTTTTCAATGTTTAAAACATGTGACGCACTAAATTAATATAAACAATTCGTCATCTTTCAGATCTAAGTTGAAAAAAAGAGAAAATAAATAGCTCATATAAGCAAAAACAAGTTTTTAATTTGGGGAATCATGGGCAAGTGACGGACTTCTGCCATTTTTTTAAAAAAAATTTACTTATATTTTTTCTGCGCTACGTCTTCCAAGCGGCCACCACGTTAAATACCACAAACAGCCAGGCTGGGTTGGCACATAAAAAAATTAAATAAAAAATACTTTGAAAAAACAATTTCCAGATAAGAATCTTCGTTCCTCCACTTTTATCATTGTACAAGCAGAAAATAATGGTATGACGCACGGATGGGTAGATCCAGAATCAGTTATCGAGGAGGGGCGGGGAGCAGGCACTTTTTTTAAATAAAATAATTTGTTGAAGCATGTCGTTTTATTTTTTAAAATATGTAACAATTCCTTACTTAATAAGATGTCGGTATACTTTATATGATCAAATCCGTGTGGCTCGTTCATAAATTCAAATTGGTTATATAATTATGACAGCAAGATGACTAACCTATAAACTACCAAGCAGTACGATTATTAGTATGGGAGTCATGCACATGGAAACACATTTTAAAGTCTCCTTTGAGAAAATTAGTTCTTACACGAATTGGGTAATAAACAGTCATCTGGATAATGTGTTTGTATACATTGTTTTCAGTTAACAAATAAAGTAAAGTTTGTATTGTACATTTAAGAGAAAGAAACAAAAATCTAAACGAGTTTCAAGGGGCATTTTCCACCAGTACTGCAGCCCTTTGTCCGTAAACAAGTATCACTGCCTAGTGCCAAATCATGCATTCAAGAAATTCAGTGTGAAAGTAATTTAATTTCAAAAGAACAAATTTTTTTAAAAATACATTTTTGTTCTGCAGAACTGGGTACATGGACAATGAGGCTTCACAGTAGAGACATGACATACCATTGAAAAGAGTTGCATCCCACCAAAGAAGCATGATGAAATAATTGAGATAAATTCAAGATTTAAAAATGTAAAAAACTATGTCAAACATAGCCATGGGTATTGAGTGGACATCAGCAATGATGACAAGGTCAAATCAGAAGACCAATAACAGGGGAGGAGATAGCTAAAACTGGAAAATTTAATTAGAATAGGTTTATTATATATGACAATTCTTTAAGTTTCTAAAAATTTTAATAAAGCACGATATCACATATATGCAGACAGAAAAATCTATTATCATCATTTGTAAACATCCCAAACAGTGATGAGCCTGTCTTTAGAACCAGCAGCAATGGTGTTATCCTTAGAAAAAACTGTACAGTGAATGGTGGCACTATGATAATTCAGCACTGCTAATGCATTCAATTTCTTCATGCCAAATACTCTTACTTGGTGATCCCAACCTCCTGTAATAAAAATTTTCCCATCTTCCCTTATAGTCACACTACTGACTCCAGCGTTGGTTACTGATATCTCCTTTACACTTTGTATCTTTAACTCCTCTGAAATTGTCCACACTTGAATCTTTGTGTCCACAGATCCTGATATTCCTTTGTTGACTTTAGAATTATAGTCTAAAGCCATCACAGATTCTTCATGCAATGCCAGACTGTGCAGAACATCATGGCCACCAATTTGCCATAACGCCAGTGACCCATTTTCAAAGCCACCAATCAAAAGTGTGTCCTTCTCTGACTGACAGGTCGTCAGTTTCAGAGACATGCACATTCCCTGAGTTTTCTGTACTTTCATCGTGTGTAATATCTGTAGTGAAGGGATACTAATAACACTGATTTCACCCTGCACAGGAGATGGTACGGCCAGGATATCTGGATTTTTATTCAGTAAACTTGCTCTACAGAATCCTAATGTTGCACATGGTACCCATCCTGTGAAAGAAATGCATTCGATTAACTGTACGTTACTATATTGGATTGGTTTATTTTTCCAAGATTAAAAAATCTCTTTTTCTTTTCAAAAGATGATGTTCTCTTTAAAAATATAATAACAATAATATAGACACATAAATCAATATTATCAAATTTAAGTAGTATACACCATAAAACAATGTGTGAATTCATGGACAAGAGCATTAGTGTTTAGCCACTGTACTGGTAACTATTGATGTATTTTAAAATTTCTTTTAAATTTTAATTATTTATTTGGTTCTCATGTTTTAAAATATCTAAATTGTATTTACACTTCAAGCGTAAAACTTCAAACTTTTTGGCTACATATATTTATAAATCTAAATTAATCATTCTATTATCATTATCATTTTACACATCTCACCAAGCTGTCTCCAGTCTTCACCACTGCAATCCCACAATACGAGCCTCCCGTCTCTTCCTTGACTAAGCAGTCTCCCGTCTCCAGGGTTGGCTAGCCATAATAGGCTCTCGCCCTTGTGTGCCTCTACAGTCTTTATGATTCTCTTTGTGGTCCAGTCCCACATCTGAATGGCACCAGTGAGGGTGCCGGAGATGAGCCCCGCTGCGGAAGTTCCCCTGCTCTCCGCAACATGGGTAAATGTCAGGCTGGTCACCTCACTGTGGGCACCACGGAGAATGTAGCTGGGATCTGGCGCTGGACGGCTCATTGGGCTCTAGTATACATGGCATTAATGGCCTGATCGTGAGTGAGAGAGAAACACTGTTTGTTTAAAGTAAAGTGAGAGAGCATTAAATTAATGCATTAAATTAAAGAAGGCACTCTGCGCCAGTACTTACATGTTACATTAGTAAATGTAAGAGCAAAAAGCTACTGGTATTTACACTGAACAGTTTTGTGCTTTATGGTACACATGGTTAAGTCTAGCGAGTTGTTATGATAACGTAATTACATTTATGTTACAATATCCTACAAAACATATTTCATGTGTTTTTTCACAGTGACACACCTGCTAATACAAATTCAAAGGTATTACAGTACATCTGTACTCCTCACTATTAGTACAGGCCGTACTACTGCTGGTACTTCCGCGGCTCGACACTCGAGGCCTTAGTTCATGACATCGGTTACGCTATATTAAGATGTTACTGCCGACCTTTTCATTTAGCTTGTCGCCAACAATTTGAAAGAAGTCACGCGTGTTCACAAATCACATCAAGAACAAGAGTTCACAGTGTTTTGACAGCGCCTGTTCTGCTCGCACGTGTAATGTTGCATCGTGTGTAAATGTGCTGTGACGTCATCAATTTATGGGGTTTCAACTTTGAACCTACCATAGTAAAGAAAAAGGTTTGACATAAGCGTACTGTTTTGAAATGCAGAATTTCACAATATCAGTGGATATATAAGGGAAGGGTTTGTTTTGCGCAATCACATGGTTTGAAAGCAATTGGTCTGGGTCCATCATGTCTGGATCAACCTACGTACAACAAATCAAGGCCCTGGTGACCAGGAACATTCTCATCAAGAGAAGGAACTGGGTCGTTTTTTTCTTGACGGTAGGTAGATCTACTCTCTAGTCTCCCAGAAATGCACTTTCTTAGTGTAATAATTTTCATGTTAAGCAATTGCTCTTTCTATCAATTGGTAGCTAAGGCGTTTGGATTTTGTAATATTATGTTTTACGTAAACATTGATCCTTTGGGCCTTGAGTCAAGCCAAGGAGGTAGATCCTACACGTGAAGGTCAAGATGACCCTGCATGAAGGAGGTACTGTGTACTTTTATGTAGAGACTCTCCCCCGCTTATTATATATTGTTATTATTATTATATTTTGCATTCTGTTGCATAAATATAAAGAAAGAATTAAAATAGTTGAAAAAAGAAAAGAGATGCTTGATATGGTTTATGATAATTAAAAATACTGTTCTGCTTGTTATAGACTTTATTATTATTTTATTATTTTTTTTAGGTGGGGGGGGGGGGGGGAGAAGGGATTATCACTATTACTGGAGGGAGTACTGTGTTCCCCCCTCCCCAGCATTATTTTATCACAAAAAGGAATTATTTTAATAATAATAATAATAATATTAATGTCTATTTATAGTCTAAAATCCAATGTATGCTAGTTTAATAGACTTAACAAAAATATAAAATTCACAATTAAAAGGAAAAAAAAACAAACATAGAATGTCTTTTCTTGCAGTTGTTGTTATAACAAAAATTCAGTTACTTAGTAGTAAGTGACAAATGATCATTTACTTATTTCAACAATTATTTTATTTTTATTTATTTATTTATTTATTTATTTATTTATTTATTTATTTATTTTTGTGCTTTCTTTCTTCAGGAAATCTTTCTACCAGTGGCTCTAATTGCAGTCACAGCAGTATTTAAGCTTTCTGTGCCAGTAACTCCTTGGCCAGCAATAGAAAAATTTGATGAAAATCAACTGTTTCAAAACCAGTTCTATCCACCATCCTCAAGATCCATCATGGTTGTCCCTAAGTCCAGTGTTATTCAGGAGATAATGAATGATGCCACCAGTTCTCTTAATATCACAGGTATTTGATTTATTTCACATTGTGCTGCTGATGAGCTGATAACTGTGCCTCTTTGTTGATGTTTAGACTGCATTCCCAGAAACCCATCGTACTAGCTGGATTAATCTAACTCTGTATGCTTCTCATTTAAGTGCTTTCAGTGTGATCAGCTTAATTGCATGGCACACCCCCTTTACTAACAAAGGGGTAATTGACTGTTATTGATGACCCCCTAGCAGCTTGAGTAGGCATGCCAGACATTTTAGCTGCTTACACTGAGTGCAGTTTAGCAAGCATCCCTGCAAAGTTAGATAGGTCCAGCTAGTACGATGGGTTTTTGGGAATGCTCCTTTGGTTTCAGTGCCAAATTTCAGTGCAGGTTGGTCAGTAGAGGTTTGTAAATTTGGTCATATTGTGGCAACTCTTTCTGCAGTTAGCCAGTAAATCTTGAAACCCTTTTAATATTTCTTTGGCAAAGACTTGATAGTACTAGTATTGGTTTAGATTATGACAGAATGCATATGGTTAAAGAATGTCATATTTTGTTTGATGTGGTATTTGTATATTTAGTTTAACGTTTAACTATGTTTAATTTTGAATAGCTTATATATAAGCAATATTAACTCACAATAAAAAACCCCACAAAATAAACTTATCTACTTGAAATGCTCATTAAATGATTTATTCATTAATTGGTAAAAAAGTATGATTCTTCAAAGAATGGAAAGTAGTAAATAATTGTGATCTTTTTAAAACTTTCATAACTGTGTTATTTCTTCAAAGTCAATTTTATTCTAGCAAACCCTCCATTCCAAATGTTTGATACTGAAAATGATATGATCACAGAATTCCGGGAGAACAGCTCATATTACTCCATTGCTGTTGTGTTTGAAAATGCAGACCTGTCTAATGGCTCGTACAAGATCCGTGTTGCATACAAAGATACCCCAAGTGATGGAATCGATGAAAGTGAGGATGCAAGAAGTCCAAGCCCGCCTATTCAGGGACCAGGTAATTAAGATATTTTGCCCAACCACAAAAAAAAGCTATACTGAATGTGAACAGTGTATGTTTATGACACATGTGAAACATTGACATAATGCATGTATGTCAGATATAAAACAATGCAGAGCAGAACCGTGTGCATTTTTCGTGGAGAGTGATTAAAAATGGTATAGTAAAAATGAAATAAGATGTAAAGTTTTACAATGACTGTGTTAAAGATAAGCTCCCTATTACTTTTATGTTAGTTTTTAATTAATCTTTGTAGTTTTAGTTTTTATATGTAAGTGTAAACAGCGCTGAGACGCAAGTGTAGTGTGGTTTTAAGAAATGTATTATTATTATTATTATTATTATTATTATTATTATTATTATTATTACTTTAATATGTGATATTCCCAGGTACATACTGTAGAACTGGTCGGTACAACTGCCCTGCCAACCAGTACCTGTGGTCAGGATTTGCCACTTTGCAAGTTGCTGTAGACAGTGCCATTTTAAAAGTATGTTTACCGATAAGAATGCATGAGAGGACTTGGGATTAAGTGACTATGTATTTGAAAGTCTCAGTCTGTGCCATAAAGTTTTCAGCTTACTGGCTATTGGGACCACCAATTTCCTTAACTCTACTGGTCTGAATCCTGATTCATTGGTCCAAATAACAATTTCAGTAAGACTGGGCATTTTTTCCTTTTACATAGAAATAAGTAATCACAAAATCTTGATTTTGTCATTTTTTTTTAAACATCATGTAGCATTTTCATTTCAGATAAGAATAAAATCAAACCAAAAACTCTTGAATACTTACAGAAAAATCTAATGGCCATGTCGAAACACGAAATTCACACATTCCGAAAATTTAACTGGTCCAAACAAATTTTTCTGGTCATGGGCTGTGGACCAGTGGGCGACATCAAAGAATGGTTTCCTAAATTATATCATTAATATATAGACATATAATGTTGTATTGACACTTACTTGAGGGAATAGCCATTTGATTTTAAAACAATACCTCCCAGTAGTAGCTTTCCTGTTTTCACTACTTAGAATCTTTGAAATAGCTATTTAAAGTCATGATAAACAATATTTGTCACTTTTTTTACAGAGGAAAGCCAACCTGAGTACATTTGTTGTTCCAGACATATCAGTTGAAATGATGCCCAAGGCCAGATATGAGCCTACAGCTGACTGGCTACAGGTAGGCCAATCACAGCTTTTCTTATAAATAATTACTATCACTGTGACACATCAAATGTTAATTGTATTTCAGTGTTGTTAATCTGCATTTGTAGAAGTATAATTTTTTTTTTTTACATTTAAAAGTGGAAAATTGTTTAATTAGAAAATTGTTTGTATTACTTATACACAGGCTCTATATAAGTACTTTTTTCTCTTTATGTAGGGTTTAGTGTCAGTTTGGATTGTAGTCACCTTTGCATCAGCCATAGTAGACTTTCAAAAGCAACTAGTCACAGAGAAAAAGAAAAAATTGAAGGAACCTATGAAATTAATGGGAATGAAAGAATTTTCATATTGGTATGTAAATTTAAATCTGTAACATTTCACATATTGTTTTAGCTAAGGATTGCAGATACCAGAAAATAGGTTTACTTGTTGCAACAATTTCATGTACAGAGAGTAGTTCTAATTATTCATAAATACCTATGCTTATTAAGACTTATAGTAACACTGTTTAACATGCTTAATATGAAATATGACCCTGTCAGAAGTACGACTTCTTATTTGTTAGGTTTTCCTGGACTGTGGTTTATGGTGTTGTCTCGACCGTCATGGCTTTCATCGTTGCTGGGATCCTGTTTATTGGGACAGTGTTCACAGTCAGCAACTACGGTCTGATTGTCCTCCTTATGCTGCTCTACATCTATGCCACCTATAGCCTTGTGTACAGCTTGAGTACCTTCTTCACCAATGACACATTGTCTGGACTCTTGATTTTTTTCTCAGTGATGGTGATGGGGGCACTCTTTTATGTAGTGCAGGGGCCAAGGTTTTTTGGGGAGAATGTCCCTTTGGGAGTGATATGGTTTCTTTGTATTTTTCCGCCAACTGCAGTGGCCATTGGAATGGACCAGGTATGAAATTGATGAGTTTGCCTAAATGTTTTATCACATTTGTAGAGATTTTAAGTGAAGGAATTTGCTTTAATTCATGAACTTAAAAGTTGAATGAATGCTTTGGGAAATGCAGGGAATAGTCAACTCACCGCTCACATTTTCACTTTTCTTCACTCACCTGCTTGCAAAGTTCAGAAAACAAGATGATCATATCTTGCAAATGCAGCCAGCTCTGTTTTCAGTCTTGGTCACTTTTATTTTAGGCCATTTTTCTTGATTTGAAAGTTGGAGGAGTCCACACATCTACCATGTACTACACAAATACCATACAAAACTTTGCTCTGGGCAATGTTTATCTCATGTTGTTTTTAGACATCATATTGTATTCACTGCTTGGAGCCTGGCTTAACAATGTTGTACCAAGTAAGCAGAGTTTTTTTTCTGTCAATTTGTTAATTTTTCAGCAGACATAAAAAGAAATAGCAATCTGTGATAGATCATAGATGAATAGATAATTACAGTTAGCATAAATTACTCAAGACTGGGATTAATTGTCTTAAGTTACTCAAGGCCAGAATTGATTGTCTTAAGTATGTATGCATAGATTCATTTCTCATTCAAAGCTTTCATTTATTATTACAGATGTGTATGGTAAAAGAAAAAGCATGTTGTTCTTCTTAAAACGTTCATATTGGTCATCTGAAAGGCATGAACCAAAGGACTATAGCAAGTACACACTGGATGCTGAGACTGTGGATGATGTAGAAAATGTTCCCCAGAGTATGGAAGATAAAAAGGCTATCAGGTATAGAACAAGTATAGTAGGTCTATGGCAGAACTGGTGTTATGAGTATTTGAAGTAAAATGAATTTTTAAACACTTAACTGTATCAAAAATTTTATTTAATGATTTTGTTTGAAAATCCCATTTTGATTGCATCCTAAGACAAAGTTGTAAGTTGACTAAGTTTTGCAGGAATTGAATTCTTATTTGCATTCCTTTCTCCTTGCCCCTTCCCCCCCCACTTCTGTTGATAGAGACAATGATTTAGTAAACATGTTTGTTGTAACTTCTTCAAAGTATCTGACAAGATGACCAGACCATCATCCATTCACTTATTTGCAGAGAGAGACAAATTATGAATAATGTTTTTTTACCAGATTATACAACATCAAGAAATATTTTATGAAAAGGGAAAAAAGAAAGAAGAAGAGTCTCTTTGGCTCATATGAATCTGTGAAGTCATATGCTGTGAATGGAGTGACTTTGGATATGTATGAAGGTCAGATCACAGCTTTACTTGGGCACAATGGAGCTGGGAAGAGCACAGTTATTAACATGATGACAGGTCTAATGTCACCTTCAGATGGGGCTTGTACTATTTTTGGTCAAGTAAGTATGAGTACCTGAAGCTATATCTGACTCTAGAGGATGTTAATTTTGCAAGAAAAAAAAAATCTTTCAATTTGCATTTGGAATGATATTTATTTATTTATTTGTTTGTTTGTTTGTTTGTTTGTTTATTTCTTTCTTTATTTATTTATGAAACTGAATTCTGTTTTGTTAAATTTAAAACTTTATACATCAGAACCATGATTTTTTCTCTCCTACAGGATGTTCAGGAGGACAGTGATTTGGAACGTATTCAGCAGTCCTTGGGAGTATGTCCCCAACACGACATCTTATTTGATGACCTCTCAGCCAAAGAACACCTGGAAATATTTGCCAGACTGAAGGGAATACATGAAGACCTGGTGGAGTCAGAGGTTGGTTATTTGAATGAAGATGTGTTTAAAAGTTAAACAGGTCCATAGCCAGCAATTTCAGAGGGGGGTTCTTTTTCTGAAAAAGTGGACCTTTTACCATAAAATCCTCAAGTACATAGGTCAAATTTTACCCAGTGTGGACCTTTTCCCAGCAAAAAGGGTGGTTTTTTCGAACCCCCTGAACCCCCCTCTGGCTACGGGCCTGTTAAATCATGTACCAGTGGGTTAATATGCTGGGTATTTGACTCTTACTAAAGAAGCCAAGGTCAACCCTGTATGTTACGTGGGGAAACCTAAGCATTAAAATTGTATGTGACCTTCTGTTTCTGTCAAAACCATTGTTAAATCTGTAATCAGTTGCTAAGCAACTTAATATATCTCCCTGATATGTTGGCTCTGTCTACGTGTGGAATATTAAAAATTTATATACTACATAATGATATAATTAGTTATATCACAGGGAAGAAAATGTTTTAACCCATTATTTGTCTGAAATGTAACTTCTGTTGTAGAAAAAATTAAATTCTTTCCACCAGTTTTTTTAAAGTTAAGCGCTTTAAAAATAGGCTAAATGGAATATTTCAGGTGAAGAGAATTTTAGATTTGTGTGACCTAGAAGACCAGGTGCACACCTTTGCCAAGGATCTCAGTGGAGGGCAGAGAAGGAAGCTTTCTGTGGGCATAGCTCTTATTGGGGACCCTAAAGTAGGACATGCTTTATAAAATAAATAATTTTATAGCCTTTAATAAAATGACAGAGATGGAACATTGAGAAACTGCCATTACTATAATGACAGAGATGGAACACTGAGAATGTCACATTTGTTAACAGTTTGTGTAATGCATTAGAGAGAGATTAAAGTTAATCATGTAATATGTGTCGTATGTATCACCTAATAGTTCATCAAACTTGTTTCACATACATTTCTAAACTCTTCATTGGTTTTCAATTCATAAAATAACAACAAATAACATCTAAGCCCCTCCAACTCATGGTAATAGCGTTTAAAGGTCATGTTGAAAGGTTTCTTTAGTTACTGCCATGTTCTCCAGGTGATATTTCTTGATGAGCCAACTGCAGGAATGGATCCATATTCTCGCAGAAAGCTGTGGATGCTGCTGAAGCAGGTGCGTCCTGGGAAGGTTATCCTCCTCACAACACACTTCATGGATGAAGCTGATATCTTGGCTGGTAAGGTTATATAAAATGCTTTATTTTATTTTATTCTAAAAAAATTTAACCTGAAAGTATTTTAAACGTTAAAACTGATATTGATTGGAATGAAGCAAATGGAAATTTTTTTAAGTATGGACATGTATTTATGATGTATTTGTACTTTTTAAAAGACACTTTGGAGATCTTGTGGTTGAATGCTCTGTGAAAGAGAAGGCCATTCCATTGCTTATTCCTGTACAGATGTTTCAGACTAATTGCTAGAGAAAAAGCAAGTTTCTTCCCTAACTAAGAAAATCATTGCTTGATCCATCTTGCTCTTGAATTCAATATTTTGTACTGCTTCCAAGTTATAACTAAGTTCTAAGTGAATGATTTATTTAGACCCCCCCTTAAGTTCCAAAGAAAATATTTACATTAAGTAGTTTTATTGAAGGAGTTAAACCTTTTTTTACATTTGCCAAATATATTGAAAAGATAATTTTTATGTAGTTTTGCAGGATACTTAGACATAAAAGCATGAATTGGGACTTTTGTAAGTACTGTATGTGGAAAACCTGTAATTAACTGTATATTCCAGATCGTAAAGCCATCCTTTCTAAAGGCCAGTTAAAATGCTGTGGTTCCTCTATGTATCTGAAGAACAAGTTTGGAATTGGATATAGACTCAAGTAAGCCACAGTAACAACACCACTAGCAACACTTACAATGTAAAATTTTCTTATTGTAAGCAGATACTTTGTGCAGTTTTGTCAACTTGGCAAATGGCATTTATTTCACTTCAGTCTATTATATGATATTGATATATGGCATAGGTATTCGGCAGTAATATTAGTATTAAAAAAAAACTTGTAACATGCCTTTAGAAAGCACAATTTAGTGACAAGTTAGTTGAATGGAGATGTTTTTGTAGGGAAGAAATATTGCAAAGACTTTCATGAAAAAAAAAATATATATTTAAACTACCGTATATATATTAAACTATAGCATGGTGATTGACCAAAATTGTGACCAAGACAAAGTGACCGAGCTGGTGTTGCATCATGTCCCCTCGTCCAAGCTGACCAGGAGCCACGGGATGGTGTTAACATACACATTGCCCATGGACCAAACAGACAGATTTGCAGGTTGGTTATATTAGATCTGTGTACACATGGCATGTATGAACAGATGATGATGATGATGATGATGATGATGTACCAGTGTGCTCACACATACACTGGTGCGAACAGACAAGCTTTTGTGCATGCATGAATGATTATACACCTATGTTATTTGAGAGAGAGAGAGAGAGAGAGAGAGAGAGAGAGAGAGAGAGGGAGAGAGAGATGCTTGGATTAAAATAATTTTCAATTTCAAAATTAAAGAAAAGTGCACATGGGATTTCCACCACAAAACCATGATTTGAGAATAAATGGTATCATACATATTTTTGGCACATTTTTGTATCTATTTCAGGATTATTTGAGGCTCTAGAAAACACTGAAGGGGGTAAGAGATTTGCTGACCAGTTAGGTGTGAATGATTTTGGGATTTCTATGCCTACTTTAGAAGAAGTATTTCTCAAATTAGGTAAGCTGAAAAGCAAATATCTTTAAGTTGTGACATGAGCTATAACTGATTTATACCTGTTGATAAATTAATGAATTCTAATATAAAGATGCATTTATTGAAATTATATATAGTCATAAATGGAAAGTTGTGAACATGAAAATTAATATTTATTCACTTAAGTGCTCAATACATGATGTACATATATTATTTAAGAGGATTAAGAAGAAAATAACCAAATATTTTTTTAACTAGTAGCTTGTTGATTTTGATAAGTGCAACTGATATATTTTCTTAAGCTGAAGAAGGAAAAGAAGAAGAAGATCTTCAGAAACTTCTTGATGTAAAAGATGAAGATACTACCATAACACATTCAAGAGCAGCATTAGCGATAAACAACGACGATGAGACAACTGCGGTGCAACTTCAAGACATGCACAGGCCAGAAGTCATAGCCAACCCAGAAGTGAGAGAGAAACAGCAGTTTTGGGGCCTGGTGCGAATGAGATTGATTGTAGTGCGCAGGCTGTGGATTTTGGCAATTATCCGTTGGATCTTACCAGTTGCTTGTGGCATAGGAGGTGCAGCTTTATTGACTATCCGACCTGATTTTGACTTCAGTAACCCTCCTACCAACCAGCTGTCTAATTCTGCAGCCAGGATGGCATGTATTGCAGAACAGACGCCGGTTTTGTGGCTTAACTCTTCAGGTATGGAAAATGAATAAATTTTTTTTTTCAGATTTGAAAAGAAGACTGAAAAGAAGAGATATCAGTAGATTTGATGTATGAATTTTGATTTTTCAAAACAGTTGAATGTTAGTCAGTTAGATTTGGAAGAAGATTGCTATCTACATTAACCTTTTTTTCATACAAAATTCAATAAAATGATAAAATAGAAGGCATGTAGTTGAAACTTTGTGTTGCTTTCATAACAAGAAGTACTCCCTCAAGCATATACAATCAGTTTATTAGTACATTGGGCTTTAAAAAAACTTGTATATGGCTGACTTAGTGAAAAAAGGGGTTAATTTCCCCATTGTTCATCATTTGTTATTATTATAATTCTGGACTATTATCATTTTGGACATTGGAGAAATAAATAGTTTCCCTAATTTTCTTGCATGACCAGATCAGTCTCCAACATAAGCCACTTGTCCTAAACCAGCAACCAGTAAAATTTTGTTTAGACCAGTGCATTTAGTCGTCTGACAAGTTTTCAAATTACCTATCAATTTGATTTAATTTTTTTTTTTGCAATGTAATAATTACATGATGATTAAAAATATTTGGTAAACTCAAAGTCTTGATATAACTAATATTTTATCAAAAAATTTAAAATGCAATAGGGGGAAATGTCCAGTCTTGCTGAAATTTTTATTTGAACCAGTAAATCCTGGTTTGAACCAGTAAATCCTGGTTTGAACCAGTAAATCCTGGTTTGAACCAGTAAATCCTGGTTTGAACCAGTAGATTTTAGATAACTGTTGGTTGGAATGGCCAGTAAGCTGAAAAATTAATGGCACAGACTGTCAGATAAATACTTCTCTTCTCCAGGTGGCCCAGTTGATCCGTTTGTCAGTTCTCTCCAAGAGACTGTGAACTACATTGCTGAGCTGAATGCATCCAGTAGTCTGCTGGATCTAGCTCCTCACTACATAGCATATAACCTGTCCATATTTGATGTCCAAGCACAGGTAAAACAACCCAGGCTTTCCACTACATAATTTACGAGTTATGACATACAAGGAAATTTGTTCACTGTGCTATACAGTTTCTTTTGGCCTTACAGTTTTATGGACAGAAATTGACAGAAATCTTATGTTTAACTGACATGAATATAACTTTCGTAACCAAAAACAAATATAAAATAGTTCAAAATTAAGTCAAATATTTTTTCAACTGTATTCCAGATGGCATATTCTGGAACTTAATTTGTACTTTTTTCAAGAAAAAAAAGTCTCAGAAAATCATTTCTGCATTTTGGCAAATCGAAAAGTATTGTTTGCATTTGTTAATATTTGTGTGATTTAGCTGTTGGTTACATACTAAAATTATCTTCATTTCAGGCATTCAATGCATCACTCAAGGCTCTGTACAATGATTCAGCTACCCATGTGATTCCCATTCTCTTGAACCAGTGGAGTAACACCATGCTGTCCAGCCTCACTGGACAACAGTGGACATGGAATATTACATCTCAGGCTCTGCCTGAACTGAACCCCCTTGTCGGCTTTGATGGCAATACATTTAATGCCATTCGCCTTTTATCATTGGGCTATGCTCTGCTGACATCCATGTTTGGCTATCAGGTCACTGAAGACAGGCAGGTAGGTTCAGGCTGGACATTTTTGTCAAGAATATTTTGTTGATAATTATAATTTGCTGGAAAACATTTCTGATTGTGAAGCAAAGTACTTTAAATTGGCACTCTTTAAACAAGATCTGTAATCAAGCTTCATTGCATTATTTGTGTTTTGTATATTTTAGTGACGACTTTGGAGGACTTGTAATATTCAATACATGTACTTGAACATACATATATATATATATATATATGACAATGCATAAAATATATATATTATCATAATATGTATATATTTATTTTTCAGAAAAAAACTCGAGCCATGCTCAGAATAGCTGGCATCACAAATGCCATGTACTGGCTGGGTTTTCTGTTTGTTGACGGTGTGCAGTGCCTGTCAGGAGTTGTGATCATGACGGGCGGTTCCCTGGCTGTTCAGCCACGGTCTTTTACCCATGCCGGTGCTATCTTCACATTCATAGTTGGTTCCTTGATCTACATTCCACTAGGACTTCTGTTTGGATATACAACATCTTTTCTGTTTGAAAAAGCTGAAAGTGCCTCAAGCTTTGGTACATGGTCTGCCATGCTGGTAGGTGTGAACTTTGACCTGATGATAGGACATGTAGTTCAATGTTACATAGGACCTCTGTACTTCTCCCTCTCTTTCTTTCATTAGAATTATTGCTGAAAGAAGGTATGGGGTTACTTTGTAGGTTTGAAAAAACGTAACAGAACTTTGAAATTTTAGAAATTCCTTTGAATAGATTGACACAATTAATTAGCAATGATATGACTGTTTTATCATTTTATTAAATGTAATATGCTCAGATAAACATATTCTGAAATGAAGTTTTACATATTAAGCAAAATATAAATGCACATTTCAGGGAGGGACCATTCCGTATTTGGTGGTGTCTCTTCTGGATCCAGTGTCTGCTCCTGCCTCAGTGGCACTTCACTATCTTTTCTGCATAGTAAGCCCCCTCTACACCATAGCTGGTCTGGTGCATTTCATAGGAAAGGCAAGTATCAAAGTCTGAATAAATGTAGGCTTATTCTTGAAATTAAACTATCTGGCTTTTCATATATGATGGAAACCATCAAATGTAACATTTGGATATGTAGGTGCTGCAAACTCACAGTGTCAAGTGAACTGAATATGGCTGACTTTTAAACTTTCACTCAGCTAGTGTTACCATTATTTATTGTTTTTTGTAAACAGACTCAGTGTGTCTATACATATAGCCGTCACTTGGCTCTGCCGTCATCTGCTTTGTCTGTTGTATAGGCATCGTTGTCTTTATCAATTTTTCACTGCTAGCACAATTTATTGACAACCATATGACATATTATTATTTTCATTATTATTATTACTATTATTATTTTCAGAAAAATGAATGGTGTTGTGATTTTTTTTACTTCAGGTTTATCAAGGATTTCAGATTTTAGGCAGGGAAAATGAGATAACATTTGGAGACTATTTTGCAGCAGATCGGCACGTTCTTTTCACCTTGCTTTTGGTAAGAGCAATTTCATTAGGTCAGTGATTTAACTGTTTGTTTGGGGACATGTTAATAGATAAAACTAGCAGCTATACATGTTTACTTTCACTAAGTATTTTCTCCTCAAAATATTTTTTTTCTTGAAGAACTAATCATTTGATTTTTAACCTATTCCACAGATGCTTGTTGAGGTCGTCATTTGGTTTTTCCTCCTCCGCTTGGCTGATGTTACCAGTATGGGCGGCAGCGCACGAGATGCTTTATTCTGTTCTCGGAAGAAGGGCAATGCTGTGTCTGCAACCAATAAAGACCATATAGAGAAGGAGGACCTAGATGTACTGGAGGAAAGAAGACGAGTTGAAGAGCTTGATGCATATTCTTGTAGAAGTGTGAGTAGGGTGGAGAACATGATATTTTAGCTTGATTTTTTTATTGTGTGTCACTGTGTCAAGTTAAGTCTTGGAATATGTGTCAAGTTAAGTCTTGGAATATGTATGCACAGTGGGAATCCACATTGGGTGACTGTGACATATTCAAATTGAAAGAGGAAAAGGACTTTTAAAGATATATGCCATATATCGGGTAACAGCTGAAATATAAATATATTTTTTGCCAACTTTTTTAAAATCAATCTTCAATGATAATGAATTGCCTTGCTGTATGTCTTAATGCATTGATTTATATATAAAGGAAAGGTATGGGCGGCGGTTTATACAAAAATTCAAAACACGTTTAGTCGTCGTCGTTATCAGATCAGTTGAATTGAAAACACGTTTAGTCGTCGTCGTTATCAGATCAGTCGAACTGAAAACACGAGTAGTCGTCGTCGTTATCAGATCAGTCGAATTGAAAACACGAGTAGTCGTCGTCGTTATCAGATCAGTCGAATTGAAAACATGATTAGTCGTCGTCTAACACAAGTAGTCGTCGTCGTTATCAGATCATTCGAATTGAAAACACCATTAGTCGTCGTCGTTACACGAGTAGTCGTCGTCGTTTTCAGATCAGTCGAATTGGAAACACGATTAGTCGTCGTCGTTATCAGATCAGACGGCAAAATACGACTATTAGTCGTCAAAACGCAACTAGTAGAAGCAAAAACACGATTTGACGCTAGATGGCGCTCATGTCAATGGTCTTGGCTACCCTTGTGCCGCCTTCACAGTCAATACCGCGAAAATCTGACACTGACAATTAAGTGCTTAATTTGTGTTTGACATATTGAGGAGAGTTGACAGGTGTTGTACTATAGTAGACTAGTATGTGATAGATACAATACGAGTCGCAGAGCTGTACGTGAAATAAATACAGGGGTATGAGTGTATTGTCGAGCCGCAGGTGAGTGTTGTACTGCTACTACACTGCCCTTGCGATATTTTACTCATACATGTTACGGGCACTTGTGGTCACTTAGTCCTGTGTTGGGCAATGGAGGGCAAGGCTGAACTCGCTTAACAGCTCCACTCGACCTAAGTCAGCTATAGCCGCAGATTAGATACTGAGAAGCCCCCCCCCCCCAAAAAAAAATACTCTTTCTCCCCCATCAGTGGCGGATTTAGAGTGGGGGTCTGACCCCCCACCCCCCACCCCCCTCGGTTTCTGAAAAATATATCACGCCAATATTCCCCTCTTAAAATTAGAATTTTGACTAGCTAAATAAATCATAGTTCTTATAACCGTACCAAAGGCACTGTTTGCTCTTTAAACACCAAAAATTTTCGGGGCCCTTGAG